GAATTAAGGAGTTCCAAGATATACGGGTTCAAAGAAAAAGTTAAGTTCAAAAACGCTCGAAAAAATTTCGATTTAGCACCTTTGTTTAAAAAATCATATCTCTTTTGTTTATAGACCGATTTGAAAAATCCTTGAAAATTCTGAAAGGGCATATTTGAAATAGTAACAAAAAAATTTGGCGATTCAATATTTTAATTTTTTAACAAAACTGCGATCAGTTCCGGGGACCCCACGCTTACTTCAACTGCAATGTTCACTGCTCGGTTGTTGAACGACAATTGCCGCGCGTTAACTTCTTATACTGAGGATATCCCAAACTGTTTTTACATCAATATTCCAAACCCCTCCCCTTTCAATTTCAGAAATACTAAACCGAGAAAGTTTCGCTGGAGTCCCGAGGACCCTAGTGTTTATCTAGGATTAAGATTAATGCATTACAAAATACATACAGCAAAATAGTTTTAATGAAAATTTATTGATAAAATATCATATATCTCTCTACTTTGTAGCGAGCGCATTCGATAATCTCGATTAAATCTTACGCGATAAGCAATTACTCATGGAAGCGTGTGCACGCGAATGTTCAAAGAACCATCACACGCGCGGTTCTTTGAAGATACGCAATCAAACATTATTTAAAATATTATATATCTTGAATAATGCTCGATATTTTTACCTTTCGACGATTTTTATACATGTTATGTCACTCATATCATTAATGCCATTAAATAAAAACAATTTGAACAAGCTTCACGTGTTCTTGTATTCATATTTGAAGAAGTATAATTCCTTAATGTGATTTCTCCTTTAATATAATTAGATGATAATTAACAGCAAAGAATTAAATGCTAAAAGTAAAATAACATAGATGAGATAATTAATTGCTTTTGCATTTGTGTCGTGTGCTTACTCGATTGCGTTAAAAAAAATTTTAGATAACTTCAAGTATCCAATTAACATTTCGTTAGCTTTCCGTCGCAAGTTTTACGGAATTTTTTAATCCTCACAGCGCATATCTTTGTTTTATTTTTATTTGGACGATTTTTTTAATTTTTTTTTGTCACGCACAAATTCCTGCTATTAGCTTCTGTCTTGTAAGATACAATGAGCTTCTCCTTCCCTCTCTTTGCGAGACGACCTCCCACGCCTGTCGCGCCGCTCTTGAGACACGCTATCTGCGGCACGACAAGAGTGCAAGATGTCGAGTAATGTGTCGCGCCTGTTTGTCGCCTATTCCGTCGGCTCACTGATTCTCGAGAATCACTTCTATATGGATCAGCGGGGCGCCGGCCCGAGACAAGGCTACACTCGACATCGTCTCGATTGGCCGAAACACAAAATCCCGAGTATCCGATTGAAGTACCAGGAACTGGAAGTTTTACAGAAAAACTGAAAAGTAAAACGGAGCTGCGGCCGTATGCGACTGATAAGAAAGGATTCCATTTGTTCGAGGAATTTCAAGAAAAATATAGTTGGAATATTAATGAAATTATGTTAAAACTTCCCTGCAGCGTCTAAAAACATTAATTAATTCAGCAGAGGAGATTGACCGTGCAGCTCGAATATGAGAGAGCTGCGAGAATATCTTCATTTTCATTTGAAGAAGATTCAATTGAAGATTAATTCCAAGTTTATCAAAGAATCTGATTAAAATTAAGGCTGGGTTTTGGCCGCGTTTAACAAACGCGATACATTTCTTGCTTTAATAAACAAACGTGTTACAATGTACACGTTTTAAAAATATTATTCGCCTAAAACTAAATATGGGAGAATGAGTCCTTTCTGCGTAGTAACGGTCAGTTAATTAAATCTACGAACGTAGATTTAATTAATTCTTACTTTCACTTGAGCAATTCTCTTTTTAATTTCTTGCTGCGTAAATCTATTCATTTAATCTATTTATCATTTTTATTACAGCAATTTTTCCTAATTTCTTGCTGTGCAAATAATTTAATATTGATTTTACATTCTGTTTTCTAGAATACGATAAATTTCATAAAACCTGTTAGGATTCTAATTCCAATTTCAACAGAGGAGATAAGTCTCTATAAGTCTAACGATTTAATTTGATAAACTTATCAACAAACAAATTGCGCCAAACTTATTCAAATCTGTAAAAGACAAAAAGAGGAGAGCCGAAGAGCGATATACTTGATTGATAGATCGCTCATTATTATCGTGGATACGTTCGCCGGTTAGTGGGGCGCGTAACGGTATGGTAACCGGGTGTATTACGAATGGATTTTTCCGGAACGTGGCCGCACCGCGGTGCGAATAGTAATCGACAGCCTCGCATTCCCAGATCATTTTGCGCGTCTTCGCAAGGTTCCAATGCGTAAGCACCTCACTAGTCCATCAATACGCAAGTTACATAAAATCCCGTTTTTTATATTTTTTTCATGTACTTTTTTTCACAAAGTTTGCAAATCACGTAAGATTTTAATTTCAATTTTTTATTTTTTATCACCATATCGATAGAATCTGAAAAATCTAACAAAATGTGATTCGATCGTTTCTACTCGCGAGTGTAGAGATCGTTTTCGTGCACTTTGTCGCGAGCAATCGAATCTCGATAGATGTTATAAACTTAATAAAGAGCTTAATAAAGAAATCTTTTTCTTCTTTGAAATATTCAAAGAAAGATTGAGTAAAAATAATATAAATCTATAGAAAAGAATATATGTTCTAAAATAATATATGTAAATCTATATTATATATATGAGCATATCTCTCTCGGAGAGCCTCTATAAGTCTAACAATTAAATTTAATAAACTTGTCAACAAACAAATTCAGTGCGATTAATAAACGTAATAAGATAATAATTCTTACTTAATTTGCACAATTTCGGAGTCGTGTCAAGTCGAGTTCGAAGTTCGAACGTCTCGCCGATTTATAGTGTTTCGATGAGTTGTCATACTTCACGGTATTATCCTCTAACTCTTCGTTGTTCGTTACTTCGGGGATGCAACATCTCTCGTCGCCGTGGCCGTTCCAGTACCTCGGGCAGTACGGCGGGTCGGGGTTGATGTAGCAGAAGGATCCCCTGGTGTTGACCGGGGTGTGCTGACCCATCGTCACGTACTCGCCCGCCTTGGCGGCGATCCTCGGACCCGACGGACACCTCCTGGAGCAGGACTCCGCGATCAGCCGCGCGCCGCCGTCGTCCACGCTCTGCGCCATGAAGCAGACCGCCCACACATGGCTGCACAGCTGATACATCTCCCGGTCCGCGCAGAACGGTTGCACCTTGCCGCCGTTCACGCAAAAGTCCACGTGGCCGAGGCGACCCATCTCGCCGTAGTATCCGGCGTTGGTGTGTATCACTTCGACGAAGTCGGCGTCACCGGCGTCCAGACGGTTCATCAGACCCGGTCGGAGAAGCGGACGAGCGGGATCCAAGCCGATTATCCTGTGCATAACTAGCTTTTTAACACGCGTCAAGCCTTTGACACATTGCCTCCCTAACGAGTTCTGTCTTATCGTACACGCCACATTAGAGTTTTTATTATAATATTATCATATATTTTCTCATATATGTTGAATTATGCATCTTTTGCTTATTTTCTAGCTATTTATATTATTCATTTTTTATATTAAATTTTATGTTAAACATTACTTTTACAAATGTTTTAAAAAATTTCGATAACTCCGGTTATCATTTAGAGATCAACAAAGCGTCGTTGAAAAAAATCAGGTGCCGGTCACAATTATAGATGACCACTAACGTGTTAATGTGTACTTATGTATTGATTTTATTTCGATTTATAATTAAGTGATTATTCAGTCGGATTTGTGTCGCGTTGAGTGTCAACTAAAATTGATCAAAATATCATCCGTACTTTGAACGTTATCATTTTCAAATATTGCTATTTTTTCAAGAAATGAAAAATTGTAGAGAATATTGCGAAATAGAGAAGTGTTAATGGATTAAGATAGCAGGATGAAGGAAATTCGCACGATTAACCCGCTTGGATAACAATACCGCGTGAAAAAATGTTAATTTAATTATAAGAAAATTATATAGAGAGGTACGATGAACTAAAGAAATATTTCGTGAAGAAAGATTAACGCTCTTGGATAATAACATTTTTAACAAAGAGATTTAGTACAAATAAATAGACAATTTTAATTGAGATAATTAATTTTGACAAACTATCCCCTATAGAGCAACGCTTAAAAATAGATTCCTGAAATTATTTTCAAATGTAAATTCTAATACCAAAATGTCGGGACTATAATACTTAAGCGCGCGCGAATTTTAGGTGACCTGATTTTTGTTAAATATTTATAATTCAAAATCATCCTTATAATTAAAAAACATATTATTGTAGTCAACATTTTGATATTAAAATTTTCGATATCATGTATATATGTATGTGAATATAATCTACATAAAGTGTTTTTTTACTTAAAATTATAATAATTTCTTTTTTGCGTTAATTGTAAATTAATATTTAGTATTTTTCATACTATTCCTCTCTTTTCTCTTTCGTTCTGCGTCATTTTGTTGAACGATCAAACCATTAAATTATGTCAAAAGCGTCAAAATGTAAAATTACGTGAAATTACCAGCGTATTTATTTAGGAAATATTTACCTGTACATCCTGAAGAGAAGATAATTAGCCAGAATGCCGCAAACGTGAGCGCCCAAGGAATGCCCCACGCAGGTGGTCCTGGCGATCGGCAGGCCAAGATTTCTCAAGGTCGTCAGAACGTCGGCGAGACATCGCGCTACCGGTCGCATATTTGCCACCGCAGCTGGATAACACGGTCGGGCGCATAACGCACCCCAATCAACCAGGAAGACATTATAGCTACCGTTCCTCAGGTAAGCGTCACGCAAAATCACCATCGGTAACATGTCATCGCCACCTGATGATAAATATGATGATTATCGACAATGGCCAGTCATTGTGCCACATCAAGGATGTTTACATTTAAAACTATTTAAAGGATGTCATATTTTTTAGTACTCTTAACAAGTGTGTATAAAAATCTTAATCCTCCCTTTTTTTTTAATAAAACTGATCTCTCTTCTCGGATTCGATTTTCGTTCTTTCGCTTTTGATTTTCATCAGAATTTTAGAATATTTCGAGTTTTCAAAAATTCCATCAGTTTTTTAAATATAAATTAATAAATACGTTTCAAACACGTTTCTTTTCGTGAAAAATTTTAAATACATATTTCATATTGACTAAAATTTAACTTCTTAAATTAAGCTAATAGCCGATCAAATCAAAGTGATTTATTCATTTGATCATGATATTTATTTCAATTTTATTTAATCTCTACACAAATCCTGCACGCTGCTCGATATCTGACGATAAAGATAACTCTGAATTGTTTCGCCGAGCGATTTCCCGAAAAATTTCCCGGCTGTTCGAGACAAAATTTCAGACTGACAATGAGACAGACTCCGAGAGAGTCACCTGCGTATCCGTGAATCAGGATCACATTGTCCTTGGTAGGCTCGTAATCCCGTCGCAGCCAATCGGACTGCTCCAGGAGGTCCAGCAGCCGTCGCGGTCGGCCCGGCGTGTACAGGTACACGTGCACGTCCGGGTCCGGACAGACGTCGCGATCGTTTCCGCGCCTCCAGACGCAGTCGTCCTTGTTATACTCGGCGGCGGCGCCGCTCTCGATCGCGTCCCGTATCGGTCCCTCCCGCCTCGTTTCGCGCCACGCGATTATGTGGGCGCAGACCCGCGTCGTCAGGAACGACGCCAGCACGAGGACCACCGACGCCACGGGCACGCGCATCTCGCCGGGGTTGTCTCTTCGCGATCTTGACTCGAGATGCGTGCCTCCCGCCCACGTTTCGGGAACTGAGCGACGCGGTCGTTCCGCGGTGACTTCGTCGCCGAATCGTCGCCACCCGGGATTACCGTTTTTGCTCCTCCGCGGTCTCCCTCCCCTCGAGAACCTTACCTTCCCCACCTACACCCACCTGCATAGTACGCGCTCGCCGGATGACTAGGAGCATCGTGGTCAAGGGGGTATCGAATCATCTCTTCTCAGCCACTTGAAGCCGCTGTTCGTTATTAAATGGAAATGATCCTTTCGCCGGAGAACGCACACTCGTCCAAAAAGAGGTTCCTGAACTTTCGACCCTGATTTTGATGACAGATTCTGTTAATGACCAATTTCCGGGCACGTAGATAAGTGCAATCGTTACGAAAATATACCAGAGAGATTTATAAATATTCATGTGGATTCGTGTCTAATGCATATATCGTAGTCACATAAGAATTGTTAAATACGCATCTATTTGTTTCCATTACATGAGTAGCGTGTAAATGTTTGACGTTTCAAGAATTTAAATTAACAGAAAAATTCGATATTCACTCGTTAAACGGTTGAATTTTAAACAAATACATATGTATGTGTATATATGTATGCGTCCTTCAATTAAAAAAATATTTTTTTATATAAAAAAAATATATATACCTTATGAGATTTTTATTTCTAAAATTTCTTAAATAAAAAAATCATCTTTTTTTAATTAAAAAGCGCACATACAGAAATACTATAATAAATATAACATTACAGTGGTTTTTATAGATATCTCATGTTTCAGGTTTATTGTTGTTTCATCAGGCCGGTTGTTTCACCTTCCGAAACTATGTGATAATTTATCTAATGGATAAGTGCCTGCACGGTCAACGTTATTGGCTTAACATTCACACTTATCTATTAAATAAATTATCGCATTTATCCATTTAGATAATTTATTCAAAAATGAAATAACGGTCCTTAAAAAATTAATAAATGAAAACCTAACGTTCGTTTATTAAAGAAATTCCACGGTGAATTTTAAATAGAATCGAGAACGTATAATGAAAGATTCTTTTATAAATGTTTTTTACTTTAAGATGTACGGATACATAATACGTATAATGTTGTACAGTGACCTTCGGATACTTTTTACTCTGTCCGAGAGGAGAAAATGTTCGATAAGATTGTTTATATTCAAGGAAAGTGAGTTAAAGAATTAGGGATATATATCACTCGTAACCGAAAACTTGACCCTGAGATATTTCGTAAGGCCAATTAACGCAATACATTAGCGAGAAATTTTATCAGTGGAGAAACGCTACTTTGCAGCTTTTGTTTGGTTCAATATTTGGACATATATGAATTTATATTGCCCAAAGAATACCGCTTTAAATTTACAACTCTCTTTATCGTGTCTGAGAAAAAAAATAGGGATTTACAACACGTACAACGTGTACACGACGATGCGATTAAGTAAGTTTGTAATAAAATATTAAAGAGAATATTATTGAACAACCAACATCTAGCCTTGGCCGAATTTGGCTCTTTCCTCCTTATTATTTATTGTATACATATATCGGCCTAGTTTGAAATTATTGCTGTAACAAAATAATTGAAAAAATGTGAACGGAACGAGTTCCGTATCTTATTTTTCGACGGGATAATCAAAAGTTTAAATACTATTAAAACGTACTTTTTTGCATAATAAAACAATTTGTGATAACAACACGCGTAAAATGTTAAGGTTGAGTGAAAGTCTCCGAAAAGTTCGAATGTATCTCGAATGTCCTATTTTCGAGTATATTTCTCTTCGAAAGCAGAGGACGACGTATTTACATATGCGCGCCTTTTATTTCCTGATTCCGAGCATGTCCTGCGAGTTCACACGCGCAACCCATTCGAAGAGACGCGAAGATACAAAACGTTCAGCGTGCATCATATAGGAATCGCCACGGAGAATCGTAGATCTTATTTTACAATGTAACACGTGAGGTAAATCACGCGTGTGATATCGGGTACTTTCCACAAATTTATAATATACCGGTTAGACGTGCGCGCAAAGTAAGCGTGGTAACACAATAAATATACGGCGTAATGAGCGGTTCCAATCATTCGTCACGGTGACGCAATGAGAACAGAACGATGAGCGAGATAGGATACAATTCATTATTATATAAAGGCGAATAAAATTCTAAATTACACGGCTCGTTCGCGGCAGCTGAAGCGGATTGATTAAGCAACACCGTACGACGGAAGTGAGACGAGGATGAGAGTCTCCGCGGCGCGCTGCCGATATCGACGAGAAATATATTTCAACACATGTCACGTTCCCCTCTTCCCCTCCGCTCCCCCGCCGCGAAGTCAATTCGATACATCAAGTGCACAACGGTAAGTTGACAACGGTATCATTTCACGTCCGTTTGAGGCCTCATAGGAATGACTGCTTTGCATATATATGCGAGGTTTTTCTTTCTCAAACCATCTGCTTAAATGCTGCCGCGAGACTAACGGTGGGCAACGCGTTTTTAAAACAAAAAAAATCTATATTATCGCGGCATCGATTTGATTACGCCTGAAATTCGGAATTTGAAAGAAATTTGTGCGAATCAACATTTGAGACTAGTAGGAAGATCAAATCTTGCTCTCAAGTCAAGATGTATAGGTATAATTGCTGAAACATCGAAATTAAATGTGCTCGGAATTAAAAAATCTGGCTGTACCGTTGCCTTTTAAATAAACTTTACCTAAAATTTATTTCCTTTTTAAACAGAAACTTATAGCTACAGATTTATTTTTTTAAATATGACATCGAAATTAAATTAACCTACATTAAAAAGTTAATCTAAGTCTTAATAAAAAAACAAATAGTAACCTCTTAATCTTACAATTATTGAATTTTTGATAATGAAGGATTAACTTTTCAACTTAATTTTGTTCTCATAACAGAGATGACCGACCTGATCTCACATCAATAATAAGCCCGTTATGGAATGGACTACATGTGTGCGTGTTACTAAAACCACTTTCAAAATTAGTACCTCATATATTATCGCATATGAGAGAGAAAAAGAGAATGACTTTCTAGTTTTGTTCAACTATACTGTATCAAGATTTATGTTGTCACGTAATTCCACGAAAAGTGAAAGTTTAGCGAATCAAATATAGTTTAACGCGCATTACATTAAATCAAAGAATCCTCGTAATTTCTTGTAGCAAAAAAATTTTGCCTACTCTGTAAAATTATAGAAGGAACAGTATTTACCGAAAATATAAATAATACAAGAAATTTTACAGAATAACAATTAACAAAAATTCGCGCACGTGTTCTTTGAGCGTCTATTATTTTTCCTAAGCAAAACTATGTGAAGTATTAATAGTTCTTGAATTAAAAATGAAAGATATCGCCAATAAACCATCAGATAAATAGATAATAAAACTCCATTCTCTCTTTCCCAACTTTATTGTCTTTAATCTTTAATTTCCATTTGAGATAATATTTTTTCAGACTTTGGTATATCTGGAGTTTCACATTATCAAAATACTTAATGTCGATGCACGATAGAAAATAATATTGTTATCAAGAGTCTCTTAAAACAAATTTCGATTTTGAATTTTTGCTTTGTATTTTATGTACTGTAGATATTTCGTTTATTTCGTACGTACCATACGTAATAAAATTGCCATTATTGTCAAATTTCAGAGGGAACATATATACGCAGTCAGAATACATCTTGATGTATTATTTAAAAAAAAGATCGTGTGTCATCATCTGTCTTTTTCATGCGCAAAAAAACAGAGATTATGAAGTAAGCAGTGTTGTTATTACGGGATGACATACGTGTGTACCGCCGAAAATGACTGCTGCAATGTTTGCGCAACGCAAGACGCAACGATCGGATCCGCTGTTTGAGGTGAAAGTTTTGAAAGCCTCATAGACGTTCGCGCGATTTAGCGAACAGGGAGAAAGTCCCGCCAATTGAATTTGAATCTTAGGACAAATTGACGAAGAATCGTCAAAGTTGGGCGTGGAAGACGCGGTCGAGTTTGCGTTGAGAAATGACTTTTAAAGGAAATATTTGCGCGTACGTGTTCCTTCACGATTGATACCGCTTAACGTGATGATGAAAGCCGCGAGCATAGTAATTTTTCATTATTATAGTCATTACTATATTTCATAGGCAAAGTACTATGCATACGAGATGCTTGAATACATAGAATAAAATCTATATAATTCAATTTTTTTTAAATTTAAATAAATATAAATTTTTATTAAAATATGGATTGAAACAAGTAATTACGATAAATGTAATTTATTCCGGCACTTCAGACTGAATTCTATTGATTTTGTTGATAAGAACAGCAATACGGAGAAACAGAATATGCACTCGTCTCTCGAGTTACGCGGAGTATTGAGTCCAAGGTACAGAAAATTTGTTATTACTTCTGCGGATAAACTTAATGCAATCACCACAAATCAAAAGAGATGATCCCTGTCTGCACAATACATGAAAGAAACATGCTATTTTGGAGCAGTCACAGAAAATATAATATGTTTCTCGCACGTCGCCGCGATGTACATACTAAATAATTTGCACTATCTAGTAAATAATTTATTTTAATCACAGGTAGAACATAGAAGCAAATAATATCATAATGACGTCAATTCTTACATTATTTATGATTTATAAGTGATAAATAAAGTCATAATGACATCCTTATCATACGAATATCATTATGACTTTTTGTGTTCTACCTGGGATTAATCAGCTGTTTATCGGATTTTCTGTGTGTTATGGTCCATATTTCAAAAATAAATTTTTTTAAAGTATTTTATTTTTTATATAATAAATTTGGCTTTTAGTTACGTGACGATCTGTTAATGATATTTCAGACTTTCGAGGCGTCGCTGCAACGTAACAACGAATTAGCATGTACTTGCAAATCTTGCCACATTTAATGCAGGCAGGGATGTAATATGTAATACAACGTAATGAAAACTTTTGTCTCATTGATGTATGATTTCAATAAAAATCCATCAAAAGATATATTTTTTGGCCGCGTAATATAAGATCGCGTAAAACTGAAAACGTATAAATAGTACGTATAAATAGTATAAATATTAACATGTAAATGAGAGATAAATGCAAATTATTGGTTAATACATTAATATCCGTAAAGTACTTATCGATAAAAATTAGCAATATCCTGGAAAGCATACAACTACCATATTATATCGATTGTAAGTAAATGTGCTTTATTCCGACAGACAGATCACAATAAAGGTTCTTCGAAAACACAGCTCTAAAATATTGACAGATATGTTGAACTGAGTGCACGCGTACGTCAAGATTAATAGTAACTTATAAATATATTTGGCAATTTCATTGTTCAAGTATGAGGAAGTAGGAAACTATATAAAAAAATCAGTCAGTTCGCAAAAGTCCGGCAGCTTGCAGTATAGGAATAAAAGAAAATAATACTTTTGTTTACAACAATTAAAAACTTATTATAATTTGATTCAGTTTTCACTCCTTGCTGGATTTTTTAGTTGATTGTCAAGGATTGAAAAGTCGAGAAAGAACGAGATATCGAAGTATAAACGCGTGATTGACTAAACGAAAATTTACACATTGCTAATGTTTTTTTTACTTACACATAATAGTAATAATGCCGTAAAGTTAGCTTCCACAGATATAGGCACAGTCATACGGAGATCCACCAAGTCTACGTAGAACGGCTATATACAGGAAAAAATAAACATCCGCGGGTACAATGCACTCCGAATGGGCTGCTAACATTAAATCTGTACACATTACAATATTTATTTAACAGCTAGGTTCTGTAGCCTGGAGCCGACGGCGTTGCCGATCTGTTCCTTATCTACATCCGTGAGCTTTCCGTTGTTCGCCGGTGACTGGCCCAATCTGGCGCACGCCTTTTTGTGCATGAACCAGTGCAATCGCTGACACTCCCTGTCGCAATACTGCACCGCTTTGCATTTGCTGCACTTCTTGGTGGCCTTGTCCTCGCCGCAGGTCACACAGGTCTGGGCGTTGTCGACGAAGCCGCGCTGCCCGTTTATCGCGGCGGAGATCACGGAAACGGCGGACGGCGGATCTGTGCTCGCCAGCGTAGCGACCATCTGGCGGAAAATCGTGCTCTCTCTGAACGGAAACTCCCTCACGGATTCCCGCAGAAATGCCTCCTGATACTCCGGCAAGCTGTCGTTCTTGCTGCACTTCAGGAATCTTCGTATCAAAAGCTCGACAGTGTCGGACTTCTTCTCCTCGCTCTCCTCGGTCCCCTTCTCGCCCTTCTCCGCCTTCATGGCTTCTTGGCGCTTCTGACATTTCAACACCTCGGCGACAACGCAACTGAGATAATGATACTTGAAAGCCATCACTTCATTTACCTCAGCGCCTCGCGTCATTTCTTTATAGCGCATGGATTCCAATACTTTTTGTATCTGAAAAAAGATCAATGAAACAAACTAGTGAGTAAATATTAAATAATACAATTGCTTTGTCATATAAAATCAAGAAATATTTTGATGTATCAAGTAAATAAATTAATTGGATTGAATTATCAATTTTTTTTCTACATATTGTGCCTTACTTTTGCCGCATTTTCCAGAAGTGCAGGAAGTCTTTGTAGATTCATACATATACGTACAGGATTCACGTTAACGTGCATTATGAATTTGTGGAAATAATCGGCTAGATGTGGCGGTAGCATGGGCTCGGTCTGCAAACCCTGTGGCTTAATATAATAATCTATATCAGCCTTCGGAATGAAGTTGTTGATGGTCGCCACGCAGTTGTGATTTCCAACAAACGCTGCCATTTGCGCGGCTGTTCTGCCCACGCTGTTCGTCGCCGTCAGGCGTGCCCCGTGCGACATCAAGAGATGGCATAGCTCGGCGTTGCCGCTCAAAGCGGCGAAATGAAGAGCGGTATACGCGTGCTCGTGTTGACACGCGTTCACATCAGCACCCTGGAACGAACGAACAATCCTCATAATATATGAATTAAGTGCCTAAGATGGCATTCAATAAACATGATTAAGATAATATTTCCGGAAATATGAGATGAAAATCCGTTACGAGAAAATCGTGTGAGCGTCGTCGTGGACAATAAACGTAAATTTATAACAGACTAATCACGAGACACAACTCTGTTGACATAAAATATCACTGGTACATTCAACATAACCTACTTGATCGAGGAGCAGCTGCACGATTTCCTTGTTTCCCTTATAACAGGCGTGTTGGAGCGGGCTCATGCCGTTCTCATCGACAAAGTCCATCTTGACCTTGTTCTGCGCCAACAACGTCTTGAGTTCGCAAACCTCATTCTTGCTGATTTTCTCGAAAATCTCCTTCTGAAAGTCCGTGAGATCCACCGTAGCGGGCGCCATGTTGTTACGTGTGCACATGTGCGTTTGTGTGTATGTGTGTATGCCCGCGCGATTCGCATGCACTAACGCCCTCTGAAGAAGTGGCTGTAAACTACATAGCAACTTTCATTTTTCTCCACCGCGGGTATACAATTTGTGGTGCGTGTCCGTGCTACATCCACCTCTAGAGACTGCAGCGGGGCATTACTCTCGAAAAACTGCGCATTCGAAAATCATGTCCTCTCTCAGATTACGAATATTTCCGGCGAGTAACACAGCCTTCGCCTTTGTTCCGTGTTATGTATATTTTGTTTAATTATATTTCATGCTATGTGTACAAAATATAATTATATTGATGTGTAATAATATAATTATAATGATCTAGTTATCTTGGATATTATTTCTTGATGGAAGTCTAAAATATAAATCTTTTAAAATACAATTTTATATTGGTACAATTCTTTTTAATTTATTATATTATATTTTATATTTTCAATTTAAGAATACAAAATTTAATAAAAACGCGAGCTCGAAATAAAACACAAAAAATGAACGTGTTTATATGTATGTATGTACATACATACAATATAAAATATGTAAGAATATTTTTCTTCGCTAATTTTTATTAATCATTGCAGTATATGTATTTGCAATATGTTCCACATATATTGGTTGATATGTTCACATATATGTATCCATAAGTAATTCTTAAAAATTATCAAGCTAATAATAATTAATAAAATATTTTATTTTTTATATTATACTAGCGCTACAAACGCGCGCTTCGCGCGCACTATTTAATACTTCTTACTATAATTTGCAATTAAATAATTTACGTCAATACACACAACTGTCAAAATGCAATGTCACAGCCGCTTACGCGAAGTAAGCGCAGCAAGAAAACCAATCAAGCAATTTCTTTTTTACTTACCATCATCCACCACCACAACACAGCACCACTACCCACAATCCCCACACACCGCCACCACCCGCCAACCGCCATTCACCTCCACACCACCAGGTCGATTTTTTATATTTTTCGATTTCTGCAATAAAAATTTGTCCGAGAAATATCTCGGGTCAAAATCGATATATGACTATGTAGGAGTTGACCTAGGTCAATTTTTTATATTTTTCGATTTCTGCAATAAAAATTTTTCATAAAGGCCCTCATGTCAAAAATCGAAGAATGACCATGTAGGAGTTGACCTAGGTCGATTTTTTATATTTTTCGATTTCTGCAATAAAAATTTTTCCGAGAAATTTCTCTGGTCAAAATCGATATATGACTATTTAGGAGTTATTTAGGTCGATTTTTTATATTTTTTGATTTCTGCAATAAATCGGTTAAATAAAGTAGCTTACATAAAAAATATTGTTTATGCAATATAATAATTTTATTATATAATTTTCTATAATTTTATATTACATAATATATTATTTTATATATATGCGTTGTATATAAAATATATAGGTCTAGCGCATTTTTTAATTATATTTAAAAATATGTTTGTATAGAATATATATTATGAATTGCATAGATGCAACGGAAAAGAGTCTTTTCAAAAGACCAATTCAGAATATGCTTATGAGTTATATATGTTAATTAGCGCGCTAACAAGTCTAAAATCTTATAATATATGATTCTTATTTCACTTTTATCAATATAATGCGTTCGAGTATTTTTATTATTTCTGAAATTCCGGTATATATATAATAACGTAAATTATATGCTAAATGCAGCTATCGTTATGTTATTGGTTACATTTATTATTATAAAAAATGTGCAAGCAGTTCTATTTTATTTTGACCAAATTAATGTAAAATTGTAAAAACCACGACTAAAAGAGGCTATTACGAAAAGGCTTGTTTTTGCTGCACTTGAAGAAAATAAAATAGACATCATTTCTTAATTACTGTTTTTGGAACGAGAATTCTAATGATGTCAGTTAATTAAAATTATGATACATGATGGGAACACATAAAAAAATTGAGCTTAAATCAGGAAAACG